AGGGCAAGAGCATGATTAATAATCTTGATTTAGAATCAAGCATGATCTACTGCAGGAACTGTAAAACAGAGGCCTAGATGGAGTGAAAAGAGAAAAAATGTTGTAGTTAAGAACCTGGAAGTCAGATCCTGAATATACCACTTAATAATGATATGACTGGGCCGGCCCCGTGGCTTAGCAGTTAAGTGTGTGCGCTCCGCTGCTGGCGGCCGGGGTTCGGATCCCGGGTGCGCACCGACGCACCGCTTCACCGGCCATGCTGAGGCTGCGTCCCACATACAGCAACTAGAAGGATGTGCAGCTATGACATACAACTATCTACTGGGGCTTTGGGGGAAAAAAATAAATAAATAAAATTATTAAAAAAAATAATAATGATATGACTGAAGTTGTATAATCTATTTATACCTCAGTTTCTTCATCTGTAAAATGGAAATAGTAGTATCCATCATCATTGGCTGGCTGTGAAGATTAAATGACACAATTCAATAAACGTTAGCTATTATTATGGGAGGAAAAGTTGGGTAAGAAGAAATAGACCAACAGAAGAAGTATCCAGGCAGACAGTGTAGCAAATGCAGAGGGAAAGAAGAGGGGGTGAACAGATGTCTTGGGGAGTTGCAATTACTTTGGTTTGGGCAGACGGACAAATGGAGGGGTGAGGCAACAGTGGACAGGCAGTGAGATTTTAATGATGAGTTTAAATTTTATCCTGAAGGTGACATTTAAAGGTTTAAATGGCAAATTGTGAAGATCAGAACTCTATTTCAAGATCATTCTGGTAGTAGTGAAAGGCTGGACTGGACATGAGTTACTAGGAACAGAGTCCATTTGAAGTCTCTTACAATAATCCAGGGGAGAAAGAAAACCTGAAATAAGTCAGCAGCAAAAGAGATGTAGACAAAGGGATGTAGATAAGGGGATGGATTACAGAGCCAACTATGAGGAAGTACCTTCAAAAATCAACAAAATGTAGCGATTTATCGGCTTGGGAAATCGGAGAGGAGAGCGAGGTTTCTGGCTTAACTCACATGGTGGTTGGTCATACCACTCACTATATCAAGCAATGTAAGAAAAATCCCAGGTGCTAAGGGATGATTCCTGTTTGGGCCTTATTAAGTTTGAGAAATCCAAAGATAATCCAAAAAGAGATCTATAAGTGAACAACATAGAGCTCAGGAGAGACGTCAAGGCACAAGAAAAGATAAAGAAGTCAGCATGAAGATGGTAGAAGTGATGAGGAATTTAAGATTCTCAGGGAGTATGTGTGAAGTGAGTGAAGGGCCCAGAACATAACCCCAAAGAATTCCTGACATTTTACATGGTGAGCATACCCGAGGGATATATAAAGGAGACTAAGGAGCAGATAAGCAGGAAGAAAATCAGAAGAGTTATTCACTGAAGCCATATGCTAAGGATGAAGAGGGAAGAAAAATGCCCAACTATCAAATGGAGGACAAAGTTCAACATAAGGGTGAGTTCACTTGATTTGTCAAAAAGGAGTGGGAATTGTTCACTGAGTGCCATTTTTCTATACTTTGTGCTAAATGCTTGTGATCTATCACTTCTTATTCTTCAAAACTAAATCTGTCAAGTGGGTATTAAAATTCACGAGAGCCAGGTGAGCCTGCTTCTAAAACTCATACTTTCTGCTGCATCTTAGACGACAGTGAACAGAGTCCAGTGTGATCGTGGGGTAAGAGCCTGGCTGACACTGAAGATGACAATAAAATATAAATGACTCTTTTACAAGCTTTGTTGTGAAAAGGAAGACAACACACTCCAGGGATTATTTTACACCATTGACTGGAATTTGACATATCTTTGTAAAGCTATTTTTTCTGTATTTCTGGTCCTTGAAACAAAGTGGCATATGTCTTGACAGTGAAAGTGATGTATGGTGAGTTCAATCTTCCACATTACCCTGGCTGGAAAAGCTCGTGATACACCAACAGACAAGCTCCCATTAATATCACTCAAAGTACATAACAAGATTATCTTTTAAGATTTTTTTAAATGCTACAAAATCACCAAAAGGTGCTTCAAAGTGTTTCTGATTTAAGATAGTGGATTGGCCCCAAGAGTTTGTCTCTTCTCCCTCTCACTCCAGTAAAATGAAAGAAAAGCAACTGAAAGGGTCTGAGGTGTTGATACACATCACCTCAGCTGAAGTTCAAAGGCATTATGCTGAGTCAAGGAAGCCAGTCTCAAAAGGTTACATATGGTATGATTCCATTTATGACACTCTAGAAGACAAAACTATGGGGACGGAAGAGCCCAGTGGTTGCCTGGGGTTATGGGTGGGGGAAAGGTGACTACGAAGGAATAGTATAAGGGAATTTGGGGGTGATGGTACTGCTCTGTAACCTATGATGATTACACAAATCTACACATGTGAAAACTCAACAGAACTGGACACTCCAAGGAACACAGTTTATGTATGATAATCTAAAAACCATTTTTTTTAAAAGACGTGAGCCCAAAAGGATGGAGAGTAGAGAGGAGACAGAAACAGAAAAGTGATTTCAACAGACTTCCGGAAAACAGAAAGCAGATGGGATATGACTGAGCAGGACAGAGGAAGCTGCAATCTAAAGAGACTGCAAAGGGGGATACTGGTGAGAAGCATACTGACTGGTCCCACAACCCCTGAGAAGCTCAGACTTGGAGGTAAAAGTTACAGCAAAGAGTGGAGTCAAGGGACAGGCCTGAAAATGACTAGGTGAAAATTATGCAACAGAACAGTCAGATCCTCAAGACCTCTTCCCTATCCCTCTCAGCCAAACAAATATAATCTCTCACCTCCATCACTGTCTCCCACAGGTAGAAGACAAAGAATTGTTATTGGAGAAAGTACTGGGAGACAACCAGGTGGAAGGGATACACAGAGGGGCGGGTATAGGGAAATATATGTGAAGTGGAAAACAGAAGGTGAGGTGGAGGACAAGGCAGAAGCAGAGTTAAAAGCAGTAAGAAAGAGACCGTCCATCAACCCCTTCCCTTTGCAGAGACTAGAGAATTCTTCCCTAGAGACACTGAACCCTCCCAGAGAAAAGGCCTCCAGCCAAATGACTGGCTCCCTGACAATCATTTCCTAATTCAGTGCTTCTAAAAATTCAGTCCACCTACACTTGCTGACCTGCCTACTATTTATTACTTGTCTAAGCTTTCTATCATGAACAGGAACAAATGATTCACTGAGTGGCACTTCTGAGTAGCACAGTGCTAGCAAAGCCTGTCACCTGTCAAGCACTGCCCATGGACAAAGCTTTCACTCAGTCTTTGCGGTCCATTCACAGAGGCCCAACTGCCACGACTAGGCAGAAATACAAAGAAAGCTGCCTACATGAACAAGTGAAAAAGACTAAAATTACAAATAGCAACAACAGAAATCAGCGTTAACAGAGTAGGAAAGAAAAGCAAAAATATATATGCATCCATATATATCCTCAGAAAAATACGATATTTTATCTGTGAACTAAGATTAGTATGTTTTGGAAACAGAATAGAAATACAGGAAGTCTCAGAAATTAAAATATTTTTAAATATATAAAAAATTCAATAGATAATGTTGTAAGATCAAAATGAAGAAATCTTCCAGAAAGAACAGAGACAATAGCGTTGAAACAACTGAAGCATCAGTCAAGGAAGACTAATATCTGACTAGGATAGGATCAGATTTCTCAAAAGCAACAATGAAAGCCAGAAGCGAGTGGAGTAATGCCTTCAAAACACTGAGGGAAAATTATTTTTAACTTAAAATTGTATATGTAGTCAAACTATCAATGAAATGTGAGAGTGCAGTAAGGACATTTTAGATATGTAAGGACTCAAAATTTGCCTCTCATATACCTCTTCTTAGGAAGCTTTAAGTGTCTTAGGAAGTACTCCAGTAAACAAGAAAGTCAACTAGGAAACAGCAGATCCAACACAGGAGGGTGACAAAAGGAGGCCATGGGTAACGGCTGAGTAGCCAGCAAAGAGAACCACCAGTATAGACAGACTGGCACAGAACAAGCACAGAGTAGACCTCTCTAGTAAAAACAGAGAATCAGATTATCTGATATTTGAGGACAAAAACCCTTCAAAACTAGTAATGAGAACATGGTGGACCTGAAAGAGAGGTTGAAAAAATTTAAGATACGTTTCCAGAACGCTATATGTGTTAAAAATGAGGTGATTATTAATTCCTGGAAAAATAAAATGATGCAAAATGTAATCACGGTGCACTGCTTTGCTCTGCAGTATACATTTTTACAGTCATAATTAAACAACAGCTAATGCATTTACTAAATATTATAACTATATAATGGGAGAAGAGGAGGTATGTGTGTTAGAGAGCTAAATCATCAGGTAACAGTTATGTGTGTTAGAGAGCTAAATCATCAGGTAACAGTATCAAGAAGATGATAAAGTCTAAAATGGTTAAATCAATAAATACCAAAAGAAGCAACTTTTGGAGTCAAAGTGATTATCTCTAGAAGATAAAAAAAAGTTGGGACAGGGACTACTGTTTTTCATCACAAGGCCTTTAGACGTTTTTTTTTTCCCCCGCTGAGGAAGATTCACCCGCAGCTAACATCCACTGCCACTCTTCCTATTTTTACACATGAGCCGCCAGCATAGCATGGCCACTGACAAGCAAGTGGTGTAAGTCTGTGCCCGGGAACCGAACATGGGCTGCCAAAGCAGAGTGTGCTGAACTCAACCACTAGGCCACCAGGGCTGGCCCTAGACTTTTTTAACTGTGTACACATGTTACTTTGATAAATTTTACAGATATATAAAAGCAAATAAGGTCACCATGGTCTGATTTGATTTTAGACATATTTATTTTGACATTTCAAATGACATTAGGGGAAACATGATTTTTATGTTTATTGAATGGGGCATGGGCTAGAAAGAGGCTCTAAAACACTTTACTAGATCATCCAAACTCTACCACAAACATTTATGCATCAAAATTCTTCTTGAAATTCTTCTTCTTACTCCCTCTACCCTCCCCCAAAATAACCATGTTCACAAAGAACAAAACTTTGCAGCTTAACCAACAAAAGACCATACAATAATTCAAACCATACAAAAAGGCAGTATTTCCATGAAACAGGAGGTGAGCAGGCTGAACAGCATTCATTAACTCTACCTCTCAGCTGCTCCTCTTAGTCTGGCTTTTCATTTCCTGCATGCTCTGCCCACTTCTTATTTTCATCATCCTTGCCTCTCTACCAGTTCTTCATTTTCTATTTACTTGACATTTCCCTTGATCTAATACTACATTTACCCCATCTGCCTATAACTCAGATGACAATGTGATCACTTCCTGGTAAGAATAGATGTTTCTCAGTAATACAGATAAATCCCATAGTTAATGCTGTTGGAGAGATTAATATATACACATATGGCAATCAAATCTAGGCATGGAAATGGTAAAACTTGGACTCATTGACCCTGGGCTAAAATGTAGTGCTAAACATTAGCAACAACACTGGGGCACTGTTATTTCAGCAAGACACTTGAACATAGCAAAATCAATTTTGTTCATTTTTATTAATACAGAACATACTAACAGAAAGTTATCTTTTAATATAATCAAGGTTACAAATAAACTGTTACTAACCAATAAACAAATAATATTCACTTGACTCTCCTCTCGGTTGAATAATTCTCTACTAGGTAGTTCAGTTATTTTTACCAATTTATTTTTAAACTGACTTATGATTTCAATGAAATTTCTTAGCTTTTACTCACTAAATAACTCCTTCAACTGGGAAACTTCATATATCAAAATACTTCCTGCAAGATAATGCATTCTTCAATGCCTTCTACTTAACCTAGTGGTCTTAAAATGCAATATGATTCTTTGAAAGTTGAATATGACATCAATGTTTCCAAAAGATGAGCATAAAGCCCATAAGCAAGCACTGTTCTCCCTCCCCTCATGCTTCACAGAGGCCATATCAGCGTTCCACATTCCTCCTATTCAGCAACAGGAATCTCTTAGGGGTCAAATGGCAGGAGACAGGGAGGAACTTCAGCCATCAATGTACTTGTAAAATAGATAAAACTCTAAATATATTTGAAGATTCCATCTTCACCACAGATAAGAAAGTGTTGGAAAGGCTCTTCAACTTTTCATTAGCAGCACCTTTGGTCCCCCAGTTAGAAAAGGAGACACAGGATGGCAGCCCTCCTTAAATAGCACAAGCTCAATATGGAAAGACCAGAAAAACCCCTCTCCCCCATGATGGATGCCAGAAAATCAAATGCCATGTGCAAGAGGGTCAATTATCAGAATAAACAGCAATATTCTGAAGGACTGACCAAACAAAGAACATTTTTAGACAAAGACTATGCACTCAGAAATTTCAGGATAATTATACGTTAAGTACCTCATGCAAGTAATATTCTACCAGTTAAAAGTCATTATGAACTACAAGTTATTTTTAACTGAATTTCATGTTATACAAAACTTAAGAAGTGTGGCACATTTCTACTATTAAGCTTTACATTATTTTTTGTTTTAAAAAAAACATGTATTAATCAAAATAGACACATGATCCAAACCTTTTGATTTAAAATATAACTGAAGGAAACCATATAACTGAAGGAAATCTGAATATCAAACGGGCATTCTTCTATACAAACATATGAGTTATTCGGGTAAAAAAAAAAATGCAATTTCAATGCAATTAAGCCACCTCTGATTAAGACATACATTTTCATGCATGTGAAAAAATAAGTTTATATTCAAGAATAAGTTCCATAACAAACAAATTACAGCATTTATTCAATAAGGAATATTAAAATAATTCCAGTTAGAAAATAAAATAACTTCAACCATATATATTATAATTTATCATGTACATACTCCAAAATCTCCAGAATTTAATTAGGAAATTTAAAGAACTTTTTTTTAAAATATGTCTTAGGAAAACCAACCAAAACAATTGGTGCCTTAAAGAAAGAGAATGTGCATACGCATCCATTTTTGACCTATATGCAAAGACTGAATGACATATAGAGGAAATGAAGGTTACTGTTTTCCAAAATTTCTGCAATATAATAGTACTTAAGTCAAAACACTTAAAAGCAAAATAAAAACAGCTTGGGGTCTTTTCAATGCTGAAGCAAATTTCTGAATGTTAAATACCACAAGAATGAAAACAGTCTCCTTTGAACACTTACATCTAGTTTACAGTTGAGGCAGAAGATGAAGGTCTGCCAAGAAGTTTTCCCATTTCACCTATATTCTTTCATCCCTTATGAAGTATAAGCTTCAAGGGAAATGATCACATGTAAAAACGTATCAATTGAGTTGGGGTTCTTGATTGCAACATCTTAACCAAATGGAAAGAAAAATTTTAAATTCTCCTACCTGAGACCTACGTGACCTCTTCAGACACGAGCATTAATTCCTGTGTTAGACTAGGTAAGCATATCCTTTGAAATCAAAGCTAAGCTTGACAAAGAACTATACTGGATAAATTGAATACATGAACCACCTCAACAAAGATGGCACTTTAAGCCTTTACACATGACACATGAAAATGATGAAGTGTTTCATTTAGATTGGTCTTTCTTCATCTTTTCATTAACTCTGAATCTTGAAAGGTTAGCAAGTCACTATACTCACACATCTTGTAATCCCTTTCTTCACACAATAGGCATACGTATACAACATCATATGTCACTATAATATTACCAACACAGCATAAACATTTAAGCAGTAGACGCATTTCACATGGAAGAGGCTCTATGCATCACATGGCCTGTCCTGACAAAAAGCAAACATCAGAATGCCACTTCAGCAGTTATACTGTTGATATCACCAGTACAGCTAATTTGTTTTATGCTCATCATATATTTTCATAAGTCATCCATACGGAAGAAGCAAAGGACAAAGCCTGTTTAAAAAAGAAAGTTATGTGCCAACTTCAAAAATGACATACTAACCAGACATTAGTTAGTATGACATCAGCATTCGAAAGCTAGGTTGAATAGGACTGGCCTTGATGCACATGCAGTAAATCTGTTTTCAGAATATAAAATTAAATGGTAATGTCAGCAGTATTACTACTGTTTCTGTATTTATGATTAATTACTAGCAGTACAACTCCCAGAAGGAAGGAGATGGATCCAACAGCGATGTAAGCAATCCCCAAAAATGGATTTTTTCCTCCCATCCATGAAATAGTGCTCAAGATCATCCGTTTTCGTCCATCAAAAGAATGTACAGGGTAATCTGAAGAGTGTATAGGAAGACTTTTCCAAGTCTAGTTACTTGATTTTTAAAATACAACTTAAAAAGTTGGCATTTAATTGCTTGTAATTCATTGGTATAATTCTATGATACACTGGCACTTTATTCATATGTTCTGAATCACAAAATAGTTATATAATTATTATCTTGAAGGACTGATTCAGCAAATTAAATGTTAGTAGTAAACGCCAATATAGTTTACAAGCAAAAACAACCAAATTTAAGGATTATATCATTTCTCAGATACTTTTGTTCTCATTACACAGGAGGGGCAAAAGGCCACAAAGAAATGTAATGTGAGAAAATATTTCAGATGAATAGCAATGAAATCTATAGAGGAAGAACAGACTGACAGACCAGGAGAAAATGGAAGAATGAAGGGACTGAGGGTCTCTATGAGCTCAAAGAGCATGTGAAGAGTGTAGTTATGAAAACATGGGAGGACTGTGAGCACAAGGTCAAAAAGCATGATACTGAAGTTTTAACTTGCTGATTTGGAGCAATAATAAAATTCACGGTGTGCCACAGAGTTGATAGCTAAAACAGAGTGGAGGTGAAGGGTGGATTGTTAAAGAGATGTAAGAAATGGGACACCAGTATACTGGATCTACATGGATCTACAGCTATCTACATGGACTAGTTCCAGGATTTTAGCAATAGTTAGGGCAGAGAAGACAGAACTAAATCCCTATGTGAAAGGTTTACAACCTTTTCAAAAGCATCTTTTGAATCAAGTGTTAGGCCCCATCTATTTCTCTAGTTTCTGCAACTCTCCATTCCCCACAGATAGGCCCTATGACTCCAAATGGCAGCGTCAGCTCTACTAGTTTAACTCAATCCTAACCTGGTGGGAATGATTCTAAGAGCTCTAACTAACCCAGCACTCTGGGAGACAGTATCAAATCACCCATGCTAGTCTCACTCTGTATCCCAACCCTAACAAATGGGCTTCTGCCTTAATTCTAATATCTAGTCCCCACCTTATGTCCAATGTTGATAAATTAACTCTTGATGTTTTGCAGGCCCAAATTCCCGTCTTGTCACTCTTCGTTCGAGATAGCCTGCATCCCTCCTGACAGTTCTCCTCTCAATGCCTGGGATGCAAACTGTCAACTAAGAATTCCTGAGTGCTCCAAAGACTTCCCTTTATTATGCACTAGGCTATACGCTGGTATGCGCCCTTACTCTTTACTAGAGCTTTTGGACGCTGTGACAGAGCTGCCCTTTACTTTGGCTATAGCCTCAGGATAATGTTCTTTCTACCAGCACCTGAACTGGGTCGGTCTGTCCAAAACTGTTCTTATGTGGGCCTAGTTTCAAAAACTTGGTCACTTTCAGTCCGTCACTATCTAGTCATATTCAGATGTGTAAGAAACTAAGATCTAAAAGGACCCTTTATTTAAAAATTAGGTCTATTAATTTAACCATTTACTAATCCATTCTAAAACTAAAACTATATACTTATGGCTAATTTGGATTATGAAAAATCAAAAATGCAAAGATCAGCAAACATTTGGGGCTGGCCCGGTGGCGCAAGCGGGTAAGTGTACGCGCTCCGCTGCGGCAGCCCGGGGTTCGCCGGTTTGGATCCCAGGCGCACACCGACGCACCACTTGGCAAGCCATGCTGTGGTGGCATCCCATGTAAAGTGGAGGAAGATGGGCATGGATGTTAGCCCAGGGCCAGTCTTCCTCAGCAAAAAGAGGGGGACTGGCAGATGTTAGCTCAGGGCCGATCTTCCTCGCAAAAAAAAAAAAAACAGCAAACATTTAAATGCTAATATTTGAGAAACTTTTCATTCATGATACATAGAAGCAACGAGCTAGAGATTACAGCGGTAAAGACTTTGTATAGAACAAAAGGTAGTGCCCAATATTTCCATCTTAGGAAAGGCTCTGCGTCCAGGTTGATATGGACTGGTCTGACTACCTGTGTGAACTAGCTAGGGATGCAGCCTGTAGTGGTGGTTGATGGTAAAGTCATGGCGTTTGGAGTCAACAGTTTGATTACGAACTCCAACTCTTCCACTTAGTACCTGTGTAACCTCAGGTAAGTTACTGAAATGCTCTACGTTCCTCTACTCTTTTCTATAACATTGAGATGATGCCTATCTCATAAGGCTTGAATTAAATAAAATAATGCATGGAAAGTACTTAGCACAATGTTGACATATAGTCAGGATGAAATAAATGATATTTATCAGCACTGAAAATACACCTAAATTATTAATACGGAACAATACAGCTAATGATAAAAATGTTTTGGTACTATGAACAGAGTAATAATTTAAACAATTATGTTGATGTGAACTAACACATCGCTGATTTTTAATATCTAAAAATATATGTTAAAACAGCCTAGCACCACCAACACTTATTTAGTATTAGGTACACTCACTGGCCTTTGCATTAAGCTCAATTACAATCTCGCTTGTAAAAATATCTACTTATTAATAAATCTGGCACCTACATTTTAAATGTTTTTACCAAATAATATGCTTGAACCCTAGTACAAAGTATATAAAAATTTAAGACATTTCCAGAAGATATAAATTAAAAGATACTTTCTCTTATATACACACATATGCTTAAAAAAGTGCAGAGATCAAAACTAAAACACAAAGTAGCATGCCACATAATTGAGATAAGGTTGGACTACACTCCTTTCAAATTCTATGAATCTGTACACATGGCCAAAAAAGGATACTGTATGTGATATTCAAATAGTATCGTCCAGCTGGTAATGTTGGATGTAAATCATTTTTCCGCTCTATAAGACGATATAACTTACGAAAAGTAGGTAATGCTGCAGTACGCATCCAAACAATAAAATCCTCATTTATGAACCCATTATTATCTGATTCAGAATCCAGCCTGTACACTGGTTTAACCCAGTTTACTGGCTTTGTTGTACCTTAAAAAGGAGGAGGAAGGGGGAGGGGGAGACAAAATATTCAATTCTATTAAGAGTTTCACTGAAAATTCACACTCTAATAAAACAAAGATATACAACACACAATCTGGATATTTTTCTTATTTTCAAAGGTATAAATATATTCTTAAAATCTAAGGAAGTCTTAAAATCTAGAGAGAAACCAATTCCTCATGTAACACCTTAACAAATAATTACAAAGATTTGATTGATATCTCAATTAAGAGAATACTAAAAGTAGGCTATTAAGTACATACCAAAAGGTAGATGACTTAATGCAAAGATATAATAGTAAGAAACATTACATTTTAAATTAAGGAGGCATAAAAACAAAAATAAATTTGGACTTATAATTATAACAAATAATTGAGGCTTGTTTAAAGGAAACTTTGCCACAGTTTTAAAAGATTACAGCTGTTGGGGCCAGCCCAGTGGCATAGTGGTTAAGTTCAGTGCGCTCCGCTTCAGCAGCCCAGGGTTCATGGGTTGAGATCCCAGATGAGGACCTACGCCACTCATCAAACCATGGTGTGGCAGCGACCCACATACAAAAAAATAGAGGAAGGCTGCAGAGATGTTAGCTCAGGGCCAGTCTTCCTCAAGCAAAAAGAGGAGGACTGGCCACAGGTGTTAGCTCAGGGCCAATCTTCCTCATCAAAAAAGAAAAAAATTATAGCTGGAAGGTTATAAGAAAATAGTAGAGAAATTCAAGATTAAAAGTATAATTTCCTTTAGAATTTTAGTACATTAGAACATACTACATATTTTATTTAATGTGGTATGAAGAAAAGTTGTTGTTTTTAAAAAAGCATAAACTTAAGATTCTGAAGATAGAAAATGTTAGGTTCTTCATTAAAACTCCTAGCTCATATTATGTTTTAAAGGGATATTCATAATATTTTACCTTTGAATAGTTCTTCTAGGGGTTCTCCTCCAGGAGGATTTCTGAATTTCACATTTTTATCTGTCCACCAAGCAATACCTTTCTTTTTCAAAGGAATAAGCGTAGGATAAGATTCATTGCCAATCAGAAACAATTCTAATGTATCTAAACACAAGAAAAGGAAGACATTGCTAAACATCTATTGAAAATTCATAGTACCTGCTTTACTCTGAGAAATGAGGATCTGGTATTTGCTCCCAATAGTGATTGTAACAGTGTAGGCATATGATGTACATTTGCTCTTGATTATTTATATGTGAATTAAGTATGATAACTTTATAATCCTATATGGACTTCTTTTCCCTCAATGCAGTTTTAGGTTACTTTCCTATATGGCTAGCTAATATGTGATAAGGCCAAATAAACAATTATTAACCAACATTAATCAAACATTAACCCAAACAAAACAATCTTCAAGGTAAATCTACCTCTCCTCCTTTCCTTGGAAAAATGCATTCCTAAATAGCTTCTGGCTTATCCATTGCTCTATCTGTGCTGTCCAATGCAGTAGCCACGGCTACAGAGTCCTTGTAATTCTGGCTAGTCCAAATGAATATGTTTTGTAAGTGTATAATATACATCATAAATCAAAGATTTAATACAAAGAAAAGAATATAAAATACCCATTAATAAGTTTTATATACTAAATATCATTTATATGCCAAAATGAAATTTGGGGCATACTGGGTTCAATAAAATATATTACTAAAATTAATTTCACTTGTTTCTTTTTATTGTTTTTAATGCAACTACTAGAAAACTTAAAATTACATACATGTCTCACATTTATGGTTCATATTATATTTATATCAGACAGTGCTGCTCTAAATGATCAATTGTAGCTTCTTCTTAACGATATAAATATTTGAAGTTGGTGGGAAAGCCTGGCTTTTATTTTATCATGTATGAAATAAAAAGGTTAGCAGAATATCTCTGCTTCTTTCTTCCCAGAGACAGAAATTCATTCTTAAAATACAAGAATTCTCAAAAGAAAATCACAAAGCATTATAATACCCTACTGAATAACTAATTGATATATTTATCTTAGAGTTGTGGAATTTCTCAATCTCATTCATGTTTACTAGATTATCGAATCTGTAATAAGATTATACAAGTTTTTCTAATTATATATGTCTATATCTATACCATACCATTAAACATGCTGTTGGCAATTGCTCCACAAGGAGCAATTGGTTTGTCTTCATTGCTTCGATAAGGCTCACATTCCTTACTGGGATTCTGATGTTTAGAAGGAAAAGAAGGGAGAAATTATTAGCCAGGCTTCTGAGAGAACTATGAGCTAGCCCTAATTACTGATTAAAAATTCAATCCTTAAACAATAAAATAAAATTTTTTTAAAAATTCAATCTCTACATGATTCTCACTTGCAATGCACACAAAACGAGTCTGTATTGTAAACAGACTATAAATAACACCACATTTAAATACCCAAAATATATTCCTTAACATTACTGAATTACCTTTTCAATGTAACCTTTCTTTGCATATACTTTGTCATATAGGCATATATCAAATTGACATTTTTCTTATTTTCATATCAACACAGAAATCATAACCACAAAGAGTTTTCTTTTTTCTGCCCAAGAAAAATTAAGAAGCAGTCTATTGTCAATCCAGTTGTGACATAAAGGAATCTTAACCTGGAAGTAACGAGACTGGAGGTTTTCGCTCCAGCTATCTACTGTCTGACTTCGGGCAAGTCCCTTGATTTATCCGGGCCTCACATATAAAATGAACATGTTCAACTAGATAATCTCAGGTTTTGTAATTCTGGGTTAAATCCCATTTCAAAGCAAGGAAGGAAGGAGAGGAGGAACAAAGGAAGAAAGGAAGGAAGGGGGTCTAATGTAATACAGATTCCTAGAATATACCAATCTTCTTTAAATTGTGCAGCCAGGTACAAGGAAAAAGAAAATGGTGACAAGACAAAGAGCTCTTGCCTGTCCTCCAGATTTGGTTTTGACTTAGTCCCTACTGAAGGGAGGGGACTAAGGAGATGCGGCAGCTGCAGGGCTCAACTAGAGATTCTATCAAGCCTGAGATTAGGCGTATGTCCGAGTTGTTCTGGGACTCCAAGGCAACATTAAGCCATGTCTCAAAACACATAAACAGACCAAGATATTCTAAATTTGAAATTAACTAGACCTAGTTAGGCCTCACAGGGCTATTCCCTTCCCAACCAACCTTGATTTATATTTACAGTCTCTATGGCTAGACTGGAAACAAAACTGCATGAGTGAAAAGGACAGGAGAAAGCTAAGGAAACATGCAGCAGGGATCTCATAAACTCTTTAATATTTGACTTCTCAGCTTTTTGGTCCCTAAGCCATCTAGATTTATCAAGTTAGTATTCTGAGACCACGAAGACAGACAATATAAGTTAGTACTCTGAGACCATGAAGATAGACAATATATAACTGGCTTATTAGAATCTTTGATGAAAATTGTGATTTCAAAAAAAAGATTATTAAATGTAAATAAACATTCAGTAGGCCAAATATATTCTAGCCACGAAATTCTTAAGGAAGTTTTAAAAGAAAATACCATTTACTATCTATGTGTCAGGTACCAAACTAAGCAACCCTAGGTACTTTGTGTAACTGGCTTAGGTAAGCCATTTAACGAGTACCTAATATGTACTACATACCATGCAAGGTGCTATAAACAGAAAAATGAAAAAAATATAAGTCCCTGCTTCTAAGCGGCTCACAATATAATAGAGGAACAGACCCATATACAACCAACTATAAGAGCCATGATAAAGGTGTATATATTCATTCAACCTATATTTATTAAATGCCTACCACATTCTAGGCAACGGCTAGGCGCTTGGTATACGGTGATTAAACAAAGTCATGCTCCCTGCCCTCATGAGCTTACAGTTAGGAAGACAGAAGATAAATAAGTAAACAAATATATAATTGCAAATTGCAGTAAGTGTTATGAAAATGCTATGCAAGTAATCAATGCGGGGAGGGTAGGAGGAGCTACTTTAGAATCTATGAGAAGGAAAAGTTTGTCTCTAGTGGTAGTATCATATAAATTAAGACCTAAAGAAGAGTAGGAGACAGCCATATGAAAAGCATGCAGAAAAAGAGTTTTAAGCAGGGAGAACAGTACATGCCATTGAGAAAGAACATGATATTTCTGAGAAGGTAAACGGTGAATGTAGTCAGAGCATAGAATAAGGAGAATGACATAAAAGACTGGAGAGTCATGCATAGCTCAGATCATCCTGAGATTTTACTCCAAGTGCTAGTAAACTGTTGAAAGATTTTAAGCAGAGAAGTGGTATTAATACTTTTTTAAAGATCACTATAGCAGCTATGTAGAAAATGGCCTGGAAAGGAAGGGCAAGAATGGATGATGTGGGGAGACAGTTTGTTAAGCAAAGTGAGAAGGGACTTGGAACAGGGTATGAATGAAGTAAATACGTAAAGAAGCTATTCTGCATCAAAGGCACTAAAGAAAACAGCAGGCCTTGAAACCGAGAGGATTCCAGGGAAAAGAGTAAAAACTGCATCCTAGGCAAATGAAATGTAAATGCCAAAAAGGCAGATTACTTGTGTCACCAGGCATGGTCAGGGAGTAGCATACATGGCCCAGGGCAGCCAGCCCAAAGGCACATTAAAAATAGAGCATAAAACAATGAGGCTGGAGTGGTTGGTTGATATCATTTTGTGAAGGGCCTTACACACAATGTTAAGTAACTTGGACTTTAATCTGTCCATTTTTAAAATCTTTAAGATTTCTGAAAGTCATCTGGTCTTAAAAATCACATTTTGGTCTAGTCCAGAGATTAATAAATGACAGCCTGCAGGCCAAATCCAGCTTACCAACTGTTTTTGTAAATTAAGTTTCATCAGAACACAGCTATGTCTATTAATTTAAGTACTGTCTACAGCTGCTTGCACTCTACAAGGGCAGAGGTGAGCAGCTGCAACAGAGACTACATGACCCACAAAGCCGAGAATATTTACTATTTGGTCCTTTATAGAAAAAATTCATCAATCTTTAGTCTAGTCAACATGTGCTTGCAGTTTGTAAGAAAAGAACCCATCTCAGCTTCTTTTCCCCTCAGTGAAGACAGCATGTATCTAAATAAAAGAATTGTAAAATTAACCATCACTTCCGGGTCTTTGAACCCACCCAATCTACGATCCCAATCAATAAATTCAAAAAGGTCTGAGGAATTTATTTGGTGTGTCTCACAGGACATCACCTTCTCTGGATGTGAGTCCTAAAAATTAGATCCCACAGAGTAAACACTACACGGATTGCAAAAATTGCAGACCTAACCAGAATCTTTAAATAGACTTGTTATTTCTTAAGATCCCAAACATCAAGACTAGCAAAAAAACCAATAAGGATAACCTAGGGCAGCTATAATGCTTACCAGGACCATTCTGGTCACATTATGGTCCTAAATTGCATTCTAAGAGATACACGGTTTCTGAGAGATCCTAAACTGCTCAGGGACTTTGAAGGTTTGCTGCATTGGTATCAATAACATAAAATACTTGGGCACCAACCACTACTATGGAAAGCTGAACAATAGTCAGGAAACTAAGATCCTCTAGTCCACAGATTCCCAAACCAGGCTGGGCATCAGAAGGGAAGCTTGTTGAAAACAGGTATTTTAAAGTTCTGCTCCTGTAGACAATGACATATTAGACTTAGAAGAATTCTGGAATCTATATTTTCAAAAAGCTCCTCAGACAGTTTTTCAGTCACCCATCCTTTAGACTTAATTATTACTCAGGCTTCCCACAAGTTAAAAAATGGAGAGCATACATGTTTGACTCTAAAACACAATCTCAAAAATTAAAAGTAGCTTATTTACATACTCCTACTTAGTATAATAATGAACAAACCCAAACAGAACAAATTATATGCCCAGAATGCAAGACTCATCAAAATGCCATTACAAACCGATTAATAAAGCAAAAATCTCAATGACACTACTAGAAACAAGGAGGTAGTAATGGTCCTCTGGTTGTAAAGAAATCATTAATCTGTGCAAATTCCAGCGACAAAAAGTTTTCAACTAAAAACCCTCACTAAACAACTATAAACAACAAGTAACACTTTAATTTCATCCTAACATTATCAAATCGAACATTTCTAACTGAACAATTACCACACGTTCTTATTTCATAGATACCACATTTTCATTTTCCATCATCTTACTTACAAGTAAAGCACTAGGATCTCCATTTAGTTGACTATCATCTCGAGATTTCACATAACGACGATGGTTTTGATAGAAATTAGACAGTCCATAATACATAAACACATTGCCCTAGAGAAACACAAAGCGAAAAATTTTTCATATAAAACTGTTGAGTACAAACTTGTTTCAAGCATACATAAAAGCTATGTAATTTGGACTTTACTAGTTTAGAAATTGTGATAACCTAAAACAGGCACTAGGGTGAATTCTACCAGTATTTAGCAATCTAAAATGGTACAAATTGTAAATAAGGTTAAAGAAGGTATGTTACAAAAATCCAAGAGTAAACTTTGAAAATATCCTTAAAGACTTCAAAGAAGTACTATTTACATTAAAAAACAAAACAAAACAAAAATCCTCAAGGAATCTATTAGCCTATTCTGATCTACTTTCAATTTAGAATTTTCTCTAATTCAGATTGGTCTTCACCCAATAAGCATCAACTTTTCAAAGGGATAATGGTCAAACTTTCATTTATTGCCCAAGTAAATTCTGAACTTGAATTTGGACATAATACATTTCTCAATAGGAAACTATACAATACTAGTAATTAATAAATTAACAGTAAAGTATCTAAGATAATGAGTCACTTCATAATAAAGAAAAGTAATGTATTCAGTGGAGACAACTTTGAAATAACTTGGGAAAGAAGGGTAACCTACATACACTATAAGTATTTAGAAGATGCTATGAAGCCATCTTGAATGACTAAGATTTTTAGAGGCAGCAAAACATTAAGCTATTTTCTCCTTTCTGGTTGCTACCTCTATTGTCTATAATTTTATCCTCAATTAAAAGGAATTCAGAAAAAAAGAATTTAATAACATTTTGTGTATGCTTTATTTGATTTGCTATTTTCATATAACAATCATTTATTTAAAATTTGATTTTCAAATGTCAAATTATGCAAACTTTCCCATTCTATATAAAGAAAATGTTTACATGGAAACCTTTTATTTATTTATTTATTTGTGGTTATCAAAATTGTATCACAGAAACAGACAAAGAATATGCTTTAAAAAACAGTGTCATCTCAATTAAGAAGCAGTACAGTAGAGTCAACTTACAAACTAGAAAAAGATGCTTTCAGTGAATACTGAGACAAAATAACTTACTTGTTCTCTGAAAAGGCTTTAGTCCAATTCAAAGTTTGGGCTTGTGAAGGAACACAGAGCCCGCAAAGAATGGATCTGAGGATGATCACCTTTGCAGAAGAGAAGTTGTGAAATAAGTGTTTTGAATGGGGGAGGAAACTAACGGAGCTTCTCAATGATTACAAGTTTCTTTCATTTCTTTAATTCTGCCTGTTCTGACAAAAGCAGAACTTAATGTATCTTTACAGTTTGTCCATAACTTTGAAAAAGAATAGAATTTTTATTAAGGTGTTTTAAATTTATATCTGCTGAAACAAAGTAAAATAATTAAATTTCTGTCTTTCCTCAAATTTATTTTCATGTTTTTCAAAAGGCAGCGTTCCTGTCCTTCACCTCAGTGCAGGAGCACCTTCAACCACTAGATGGCAACCACCTTCCAGGGACTACAAAAGCCATCACTACCTTTAAGAAAATTTACAGTGTAGAAAAATCTAAAGTTAGCATGTACTGAAGCAGTTTTGCTCCCTGAAGAATAAACAATTTTTTTAAGCTCAATTTTCAGGTAAAAGAGAGCACAAGCTGGTCTTGCCATGCCTACTGTGAATCTTTATGTCCTTTAGCATTTGCTCAGTTCCCAAGAACGACAGATAAGGGTGAATGCACAAAGCACACAGATAGACCACACACACACACACACACACACACACACACACAGATGGTGTTCTAACCACTTATCAAGACATAAAAGATGAATAAGGTTTCACTAATGTTTGCGTTTATAATGCTTCATATCTGATAGAAAAATAACACAATTCAACGATGGGTGAATTAGTATTTATTTTCTAAAGTAAAACTTGTTTTAGCATTAAGAGGCAAAACAATTTGAGCAATAATTTTTAAAATACAAATAGATGTAAACTTGATACAAAATTGATTTGGAGTTATAACATTTTCCAGTGAAAGGATAAAATATGATGTTTTAAATTTACTTTATAAAGTACTAAACTATTTAAATACTACATGTATTTAATTACCAGACAGCATAATGCAATAGCCAAACAAAACAATCTTCCTCAAAAGCGTGTATAGACTCCAGTAAATTAGTTACTTCTCTACAAAAAGAAAATAAGTAGTAAAAAAAATTTAACACATATCAGTATTTTCAAAAGCATGGCTTTTCTAACAAATTACTTGGGAATACAGACCTCAAATGACTGTTCCAGTGTGAAGTTAATGGTACAAACACAAGGTGTCACATCCGGAGACAAACATTTACTGCAGGGACTGGAAGGGTCTGTTCCAGTATAATCAATCTGCAAGAGAAAAATATAACTAAGCACTTCCTCGGAAAGTGGATACACTCTGAATAACTTGCTAGTAGAGGGAAAAAATGAGTCCAATGAAGCAATCTGTAGCACAGAAAAAAATCTGGTTTTAAGGTCATCTGTTTATTTTTATAGTGTGAAGTAGTAAAAACTAGAAAGGGTCCTACGTTATTCCACTGGCTCATCTTTCTAATCTAAGTAATGTCCTCTCTCCTTTTTACCAAAAGAATCCGATTTATGCATAAAAGCATAAAGATAAAGTTCAAACTGCATGATGTATAAAGATTTAAATAGCTATAAAGTCTAAACAATTAAAGCACCCAATACAAAGATCAGTAAATCAGTTATTGCTCTTAAATCTTCCAGTCTGAAATACTTTTCAGTCGTCTCAGCTTTCCATGGTACATTTTCAAATTTAAAAAAAAAAACAACACAAGGGCTACCATTTTTTTAAAACCTGGTGTTGAATAATAATTTGTCTTGTCTTTGTCTTGGGTTCCTGGCAGGAAACTTTTAAAACCCTTGACATTTCCCCGGTGATAGAAGTGTATTTATTTTTGATAAGGCCCTTGATTCACACTAGAGTTTATGATAACAAGATGGCTCAGGATGGGGGTGGGTCACCAGAAAGACTAGATGTGAATAGAGACTTTGGTTTAGCCCAACCTCTGGGGAAAGAGGGAAGGCTGGAAATTCAGTTCAATCATGTGGCCAATATTTAATCAATCATGCCCACATCCTGAAATCACAACAAAAACTCGGGAGACTGAAGCACAGCGGAGCTTCCTGGTTGGTTAACACATTGATGGGCCAGGGGAGTGATGTGTCCTGACTCTACAGGGAAAGGGCACAAAGCTCTGCAGTCAGGACCCTCCCAGACCTCACCTTATGTGTCTCTTCATGTAGCTGGTTCTAATTTATATTGTTTCTAATAAAATTGTAAGTACAGCCTTTTCCTGAGTTCTGTGAATCATTCCAGCAAATTATTGAACCTGACAGGGGTCACAGGAACCCCCTGGATTTATAGGCAGTTCGTCAGAAGTGCAGGTAGCCTGGAGACCACTGAACTTGCAACTGGCATCTGAAGCAAAGGCATTCTTGAGAGGGTGGGGTCTTGGGAACTGCCCGGATTTGTAGCTAGCTGGTCAGGAGTGGGGGTACCTGACTTGCAGCTGGTGTCTGAAGTGGTGGCGGTCTTGTTGGGGATCATGCCCTTATACCTGGGGAGTCTGACACTAACTCAGGGTGGTTAGTGCCAGAACTGAATTGCAGTACACAAGCTAGTGCCAGAAGACCTGGCCTGATAGCTAAAATAAGAGCCTTTTTTTCCATTATAAGAATTTTTTTTAATAGATTTTATTTTGTAGAGCAGTTTTAGGTTCACAGCAAAACTGAGTGGAAAGTACAGAGATCTCATATACTTCCTGCCCTCACACATACACAACCTCCCCAATTATCAGTATCCCCCACCAGAGTGGTACTTTTGTTATAATTGAGGATTCTACACTGACACATCATTATCACCCAAAGGCCATAGGTTACATTAAGATTCACTCTCGATGTTGTACATTCCACAGGTTTTGACAAATGTATAATGATATGTATACATCATCATAATATCACACAGAATAGTTTGACTGCCTTAAAAATCCTCTGTACTCTGTCTATTCATCCCTCCTTTCCCCCCAACCCCTGGCAACCACTGATCTATTTACTGTTTCTGTAGTTTTGCCTCTTCCAGAATGTCACTGAGTTGGAATCATCCAGTATATAGCCTTTTTGGATTGGCCTCTTTCACTTAGTGAGATGCACTGAAGGCTCCTCCATGTCTTTTCATGGCTTGATAGCACATTTCTTTTTAGCACTGAATATTATTCCATTTTCTGGATGTACCACAGATTATTTATCCATGCGTCTACTACAGGACATCTTGGTTGCTTCCAAGTTTTGGCAGTTATGAATAAAGCTGCTATAAACATCTGTATGCAGGTTTTTGTGTGGACATAGGTTTTCAGCCCTTTTGGGCACGGAATTGGAATGCTGGATTGTATGGTAAGAATATGTTTCGTTTTCTAAGAGATTGCCAAACTGTCTTCCAAAGTGGCTATGCCATTTTGCATTCCCACCAGCAATGAATGAGTGCTCCACATCTTTGCCAGCATGTAGTGTTGTCAAAGTGTTTTGGATTTGTCACCATTCTAATAGGTGTGTAGTGGTATCTTACTGTTGTTTTAATTTGCAATTCCCTAATGATAATGATGATAAGCATCTTTCATATGCAAGTCAGGTACCCCCACTTCCTTGCCATCTGTATATTACGGACTAAATGTTCGCGTCCTCCTAAAACTCATATGTTTAAGCCCTAATTCCCAACGTGATGGTATTCCGAGGTGTGGCCTTTGGAAAGGTAATCAGGTTTAGACGAGTTCATGAAGGTAGAGCCCTCATGATGGGATTAATGCCCCTAATAAAAGAAGAGAGACCAAAGCTCTTTCTCTCTCTCATGGTGAGGACAGAGCAAGAAGGTGGCCATCTGTAAGCCAGGAAGAGGGTCCTCACTAGGAACTAAATCTTGGACTTCCCCACCTCAAGCACTGTGAGAAATGACTATCTGCTGTTTAAGCCAATTAGTTTATGGTATTTTGTTATAGAAGCCCAAGCTGAAGAAGATATTGTATATTTTCTTTGGTGAAGTGTCTGTTCAGGTCTTTTGTCCATTTTTTAATCAGGTTGTTCATTTTCTTACTGCTGAGTATTAAGAGTTCCTTGCCCTTTATCAGATATGTCTTTTAAAAATATTTCTCCCATTCTGTGGCTTATCTTCTCACTCTCTTGATAAGAATCTTATGATGAATAGCTCTAATTAATTATCTTTACCTTAACAAAGTAAAAAAAATTAGCCATCTAATCTTTATTTCTAAACCTGAACATTTAATCTTTATGTGTGGATGTTCAATTTCTCTTTATAAAAGAATAAAATTTGTATATAGAAAATAATCTAATTGCATCTAATTGCAACATCTAATTACTTTTCAAAAACCAAAAAACTACTTAATAAAACTTAGTTTTGTCAAATTCTGATATAATCTATTGAAATGCTCTCTGTCAAAGCATATTTGTTTACTAATGAAACTGTTTAGAGAAAATTTCCATTCATTGCAAATATCTAAGAGAAGCTAGGCACATAACTAAAACAAGCTGGAAACACAGGTCTCCTAAATGAAGAGAGACAAACACAGGTAATTTTTCATTAGACCTCTTGGGCCACAACTTTCTATTCAGGGCCTCTTCATGCACAATATTCCACTTAAAAGCCAAGTTTTATGATTTTGAAGAGATGAAAGAAAAGAGACCATTTAGAAGAGTGAACTATATTTAAAAATTTACATTAAATTTTTTATTTAAAAATTTTGCACATTTTCTCTTTCTTTTTTAAGACTAATTTAAGGATTGAAAAAAAAAAAAAGTTGCCAGCTGGGCCTACTACCATATTGTATACCTTTGAACAGAAACGTCTCAAATCACTCTCTTTCAAAATAGTTTCTAGAAAAAGTAGGAAAGAAAGACCATCAGTTGTGATTGAGCAAGGATATACATTCTTTATTTAACTGAACAAAAATAATTAATATGATGGAATTAAAATCTAGTATATTAAAACCAAACATTTTATTGGAACCAAGAATAACTGCTGCATATTAAATTATACTTCAACAAAATCAAAAAATAGCTATAACATTTTCATCACAAGCTTTTGATTATAATTTTTAAATTGTACAAAAAATTCCATGTCTCTTGATTCCAGGAAAATCTGAAAGGAATGTTAAAAAAAAATCATTATCATTAACATATTAAGCTTGACCATGATATAAGGTACAAGGTAGATACAAAAGCAATCATATCTTATGCCTAGTCAATATAGTGTACACAGCCCTTTCTATTATACACATATGTCATCTGATCCTCACCAAAATCCTATAATGTTCTCTCTCTTTTACACAGAAAGAACACATTCAGAAACTTGTGCAAGGTCACACAAAGAGCAATAGCTGGTGCTGGGCTAGAACCAACGATTTCTGACTCCAAGCCCAATGTGCTTTCTACTAAACTGTTTACTCAAGAACAGTCAGTCCCCTCCATACCAGCTCAACACAAGGTTGACACAAGGGAAGCCAGATTGTAGAAAAGAAACCATATTGTAACTTTGAACCACCTCTGACTGACTAACTCTGCAGGATATGCACCCTCCAAGAGATCTAACTGCTCCATAGATTTTATGACCCCTGCTGTGCATGTACCTCCCAGCTGCAATAAAACGGTAACTTTATTCTTTTGAGTTCCTTAGGAATGTGATGACCCCAGCACAGAGAGCCTGTCTGGTGTGGCACTCCTAGTCTGTTAACACCAGAGGCTGAATATTCCTAACCCCCTCCCCTATAACCCACTGGCCTAAATAAACAACTGCTTCAAGATTCTGTGCCCCCCTGAAAATGGTTCTTTAGGACACTAGGCCCCCCATCTTCTGATCTGCTAGCTTATGGCTTAATAAAATGCCCTTTCTCTACCACCATCTTGCCTCTTAATGACTGGCTTTTGTCTTGCGGTGAGCTGATCATGCCCTTTATGCGGTAACACCCTTGCCCTCTAGAAGACTACTTTATCAAAGACAGCACATGAACACAAAGAAAACTACTGTAAATGCTAAGTGCCAAAGTGAATAGTAAAGAGGACAGTAAGTACTAGATGGACCACTATTTTCTTACTGAGAAGAAAAAAGGATTTGAACTGAGCCATAAAAAATAAAAGAACGAACAAAGAAAAGAGGGGGCACATGGAGAAGCAAGAAGGTAGAGAGCAGAGGCACATTTAAGGACAATGAGCATCAACACTTTGGATTTGTGGAGAGTCTTCATGTTGGAAGGAAATGAGACAAGGCTAAGAGGGTAAACTGGAGCCATAATGATACGCCGTGCTATACTGGCTACTGTTTA